TGCACTGGCAATTGCTTCCGCACGGAAGCTCTCATCGATACAGGTGCCGGAGCTCATTTGTATCACCCTCTCTGATTGCGTTCGCCTGAAGGAAGGAATCGTATCGGCCAAGCAGGTAAAAGAGATTCCATCGATAAGGGTGACTTACGGAAATGGCCAATCTGCCATATGTACACAAGCAGTGGACATTCCAATCCGGTCGTTTCACCTGGAGGGACTCTCGGCTCCGGTGGACGACACCATGTGGTTACCATGTCTCGTCATGCCATCCAAAGACCGGGTCATGATCATTGGTAGGCCGGCAATGTCAACTCTGGGCTTGGATCTCATCTTCAAGTCGGGTACTGATATCCGAGGTGTCGAGGCCTCAAGCGCTATGCCCGAGGCTAGCAGGCCTGTCGAGGAACCCATGCGAACCCTAACGTTCGACGTTAGGGAAGAGCGCGACGGCATCAAAAGGCTGTATATCCGTGCTCCTGCTTTCGAGAATGCATCGGTACTTCCATTCGCTGAGAAAGCCAGGAATAGGTCTGTCACTGATAGAATGATAATATATGAGAGACTCAAGTACATGGAAGCTGAGAACAAGATCGAACGTGTAAGCTGCTCGGATGCTGCTATCATCCTTGAGCCGGTACTGGTGGACAAACGTGGTGGGGTCCCCGATAGCCCACCCAGAATCTTCCCGGATCCTCAACTTGCGGAGCGATATCGAATAACGGTAGATGCACGGGTAGTGAATGGTCTGGTCCCGGTATCCGCTGGCGATGGCATACAGTGGGTTCCACGACATGATTCGGCATACCTAACGAGGATCGACCAGGATAGTTATCACCAGTACCAAGCTACACCTCAAGAGATACTACAGACGTGGCCGACGGCAGCTACGGACTTCTATGGGAAGCTGGACCTAAAGGATGCCTTCAGTTCCATAGGGTTACCGGAAGCCATTAGACCTATGTTTTGCATACGAAGTTAGGCTATCGAAGAGAACGGCTCAACTAGAATACAACTATGGCGTTATCTCAGACTACCCCAAGGATGGTGCTGGAGTCCCCTGTACTTCAGCAGAGGAATACAATTCCTTTTGGAGCTGTTCGGCCAGCATCAACCAGAACATACCCACATCAGGCATTATCAAGATGATCTTCTGATAGGAGGCAGCAGCCAAGTTGCTGTCAACAAGTGCTTGGATATGCTGGCTCACTTCTTGAAGAGTCATGGCTTCCAGGTCAACTTAAAAAAGTCAGTCAGAGCGAGTCGAACTATTCGGTTCTGCGGCTATGAGGTCACATCCTCCACTTACAAGCCTGAATCATCGCGTGCCGAACTCACCGAGACTGTGGTTACTCAGGCTTGGAAGGACGTGACGGGTTTCATTGAGCGTAACAGGCTCGCCCAGGTCCTCAAGTGGTTGAAGTCCTGGGCTGGTCGATTCCAGTATCTGAGAGGATGGCTACCGCCTCTCTTGATGCTAGACCTGAAGGTTATGTATAAATATGTTAAAGAGGTTCAAAAAGGGAGGAATATCAGTCAACCCAACGAGGAACTCAAACCATCTTTCTTCCGCCTAGCGCAATGTGTTCTCGGTGGTAATCTCCCAGCACTCACTTTCGGTATTAAAAGAACGACCTCTTTTGGTTCGGTATTACTGGTCGACGCTAACGTTGACGGCTGGGGAGCTGTGGTATTCAGAGTCGAGATATCTTCTACGCAGCCTGACGATGGAGAACCACATTCAGACGATCTGATGACCGGTATACCTTCGACATTCAGCGCGTCCGCAGCAGAAGCTATACTTGCGTTACGTCAACTCCCGTACGAGCAGTATGGAGAGAGGAACGCTCTCACTTTGGTACCGCTCTTTCTGTTTGGCAACGCGTGGGATGTGCAATGCTCGCGACACTCCAGCACATGGAGAGAGCGAGCGGCACAACTACTCGCACTCGGAGAAGCTGAACCCCACCTACAATACCCCACGATTGTCATCGGTGACAACCAAAATGTCGGCAAGGAATGGCACGATAATGAGGTACTCTTCAACGGCAGGTGGATGCGCCTCCTGGAACTGAGGTCCCGGTTGGTTCATCATTATATCTGGGTGAAAAGAGATGGCCTACCTGAGATGGCGGACTCTATCGCAAGGGCTATGGCACAGGTGGCGACCAATACTAATGAGGGTAACTGTGCCCACCAGTATCAAATCGAATGTTACGACGAGGAAGTTAGCCCATCTCATGCCCCCGATAATGAAGAAGACAGCGACGGCGGTGGTACGGAAGCGGTTGACGCCCAAACGGAACCTCGAAATAATGACGAGGAACTAGAGAAATCTATAGGATCGGTCTTATCATATCTGGACAAGTTCGGTGATGCTCCAGGAGAGTTGGTGGCGGATCTGATCAAATGCCAGATGAGCGATGATAGGACCACTTATCTTGGTTATACATTCAAGGATATTGCTGCCCATCTTTCAGCAGCGAAGGGAGACGATCAACCGCGAAAGAGAGAGAGGAGACCACTTTCGGCAGTGGCCACTCGTTTTGCTTTGGTACATGGAATCCTATGCTATGTGGTTAATAACGAGGCCAAAATATGTGTACCATGGGGCACTAGTTCGCTCCTCAAGAGTTTTCTAGGTACCACTGTGGCACCGTCGTGGCGTTCATGGGTACTTAGCCGATATCATGATACTTTCTATGGCTGTCATCGAGGATCATACCGTCTAATGAGTGCGGTTGGTCTCCGATATTGGTGGCCTAGTGTCATAAAGGACTGTTACTCCTTCGCGAGGAGCTGTCTCAGATGCCAATGCTCGAAGGCCGTTATCAAAAGGCATAGAGGAGAACTGTCATCAACAATGATGCGTGCGTCCCGCCCATGGGAGCTATTGATCATCGACTACTGCGGCCCCTTCGAGCCCGATGAATTTGGCCGAGATTATTGTTTGGTGTGCATAGATGCCTACAGTCGGTGGGTGCGGTTAATACCAACAAAGGGCTGCACATCATCAGCTGCAGCATCTGGGCTGTGGGCGGACATCATCAGTTTGCATGGTCCCCCTTCCTGTTAACATAGTGATCGAGGTCCTTCTTTCGTGGCTGGCTTTTTGGCGGAAGTTGAGGAACAATTCGGGGTGATGCACACCACAAGCGCATCCAGGGACCCGAGAGTCCAAGGAGCCGCCGAGAGGGGAGTAAGAGAAATGAAGGCCATCATGAGGATAGTCGAGCATCAACTGGGAACGGCCCAAGGATGGACAGCTACCCTGCCAGTGATCGTCATGACTCACAATTTCTCTCCACCCCCTTTCGTACCTGCTACGTGCGATCTA